TATATATATATATATATACATATATATGATATGCACACACGTTTTTGGTTTTGTTTTGTTGGTCTAGTTAATACAATCTTTTTGGTTGATTTACTTGCTGGTTTATACTAAATTAAATTGCAAGCCCAAGAGGCAGGACTCTTCTCGCCACCCCCAACTGTATTTTCTAAACATAGGGCACCTCATAGCTTAGCATCTTTTGAAATGCTGCAGGTAACCACGTAAAAAGAATTCATTAAACATACCACTATTATCAGTGCCTAGGTTTCCCAAGAATTAAGCACTAGATCTGACATGCTAGATAAGCAGCATACAGCTTGGTGGTTAGGACCTACTGAGATGATACCTCAGAAGACAAGCCTGGGTTATCTACTGTACTTCTGAAAGGTCACCTTCCCGAAATTCCCATGGCAAAGTTCTACTCTGAAGGAAAGGAATGCTGATTCCTGAATCAAAATCAGCTCTAAACTAGCAATAACTTTACCTGAAACTCTCCTTCTCCAAACAAATAGAAGTCTCTCTAGCGCCCTATCATCTATCCTGTGGGGTCACTATGCATAGAAATGCTTGTGTTTTTAGGAAACTCTCTATCCAGGCCCCTCTCTCACACACCTTTCCCTTTAGAACTAAGCTGAGAGTAGAGGCGGAAGCCACTAAAGCCACTACCTCTCCATATTTTTTGAATAGTTAGTATCTTACCAGGTTATTCAGACAAAACCCAGCCCTGAAATGAGAATTACTTGTCTATAACAAATTCTGGCAAAAGTAAACCAGAAAGTGACTGGTGAGCTGTCAGTGAAGTTAAATATTGCACTCTCTTCCATGCATGCAAACAGTGACTAATAGGATCAACCTGAACTCCAATAGTGGTTGTAGATAGCCTCCAACAAGGAACAGGTTCAATAAGCACAAGTGTCAGGCCCCAGGTAGAAAATTCATATTTGAGGGTATGAAAATTTTTACATTTTTTACTTAAAAAAAAAATATATATATATATATAGTTCCACATGCAGAATAAAAGTCTCATTTCTTTCCCTTGCTGGAGGCAAGGACATAAATAACTGGGGTGGGGTGCGGTAGGGGAGGGGGGCGCCCCAAGAAGAACGAACTCTGATTCCTGAAGTGGACGCAGCTTTCCATTACAGTTGGCTCTTTCCAGGAACTTTATTTTTTCCTTTCTAGCAGCTAAAACGGTTAAACACAGACCCAGCATCTTGTATCAATTACACAAATACCAGTTAAGCCTGGGAAAGAGTCACAATACACAAAAATCCCTTCTGGCTTCAGCTGTCCCCTCCTGCGAGGCTTGACAGCGAGCCCCAGGCGCCCAAACACCAGCCACCAGGCTCCCCCCAGCGCCTTCCTCTCCCAACAAATCGCCAGGGCTCTCGGGCCAAACTCCAAGGTCCCTCCAAAACCGCGAAAATGTGAACCCTGCTAAGCGAACGGTCGGGCGCGTTAAGAACTTTTCTTTCTTTCCTTTTTGCCGCGGGGACGAAAAAAAAATGTCTCTCGGACCACTTTCTTCTCCCCACCGTCCCTTCCGGGCACCCCACCTCCAGGGAAGGTGGACAGGAACCAGGATCAAATACCCGAGGGCCGCCGGTCCCGGTCCGGTCCCCGGTCCCCAGTGGCCGGCGAGTTCTACCCGCCCATCAGCTTCCCTGCCGCCGGCTCCGAGAGGAGGGGGCGACGCTGGAGACGGGAGACGGGCCTGTCCCCCTGCCCACCGCGCGCCCCACGGTGCCGGGCGTCCATCGGGGCCCCGGGCCCTCCACGGGCCCGCACCGCAGGCCGTCCCGAGTCTGGAGGCAGAAAGTTGCCACCGTGCAGTGGAAGCAAGGGTGCGAAAACACAGCGCCCGGTGGGGGAAGGGGCCACGGGGCCACGAGAAGGGGGACAGCAGTGGCCGCGCTGGCCGGGGAAGGGGCGGGCCGCCCGCCCGCCCGCGGACCCTCGACTTACATAACGCTTCAACTTTTTCTCCGGGGGGGACTTGCGGAGCCAGCCCGAGTAGACCACCTCGCCGCCGCTCATGATGCGCGCCTCG